TAAATAAATAAATAAATAAATAAATATTCCTCAGTGATGTGAGGTATTATTGTTGCAGCTCTGCTTAATGAACTCTTCTGTCCATTTCCTGCAGAAGTAGAAGATCCTGAGGATAAATTCCTTCTTAGGATAATCCTTTAACTCTTTAGTGTTTGTGCGGCATCTTTGGAGGTCATCAGATGTATTCCARGATAATTTTTTCGCAAGTGCTTGGAAGTTGATCAGGAAAGCACTAGTGTTGTTAAGGATCTCGGAGGGATTCGGAATGACCGGTCTGACAAGTTTGGGCAGACAATAATGGAGGTAGTTGTTGATGGCCCCCACAGACACCTGGAATTTTGCATCAGTAGTGTTTTTCACAGGAAAAGTTATTCCATCAAGGGGCTCCAGAGTTCCATTGCTGTGGGCCATCGGGGGTTCCTCAAAGAGGCGACGAACCTGTGGAGGAAATAGAAGTTATTAGTCTAAAAGCAAATGCCGGGATATCCACCGTCGCTTGTTTACACGTCATGAACCCAGAAGATTTTCCAGCTGAGGAAGTAGCACARCTTTATCTTGCGATGCAATACATTTGCACACATACACTTTGGCTGCCTTTTCACTCATCTTCAGTCCATTAATGAACAATTTTTAAAGGCGTGTTTGTTTTGTTAAAACACTTAACTCTGACCTACAACTCATTCAGGCAYAAAATGAACTAGTGTGGATGCTCAAAAGATACTGTAACTCTTTGTTACTCTGAGCCTGTCTCAAAGAAGCAATTTGTTACCATTCATTTAGTCGAAAGAATAAAATGCTAAAGATGACATGGTTTTMGAAATCAAAACTAGCGCCAAGAAGGTGCTTTTCGATGAACGAATAGCTGGGAACTTGTGGTCAGTGATCAACAAATGAACTCTTCATCTGCTGGATGTTTTTCATAAAGACATAACTAATGAAATAAAAGGCATGGAAATTGAACTGCTTGAAGGCAAAATAAAAAGAACTCAGAACCAATTTCAACACGTTCACAAAGCTCTATACAGCATATAGTTTTTGTAAACTTACTTACRCATTGATTTTCTGCCTTTTTTAAATTTTCCAAAGCCAGCTCCAGTATCATTATATCCCTCTGCTTAATTGGTTTGGAGACCATGAGGCCGATGTAGCTCACAGCTATAAAGAAGAGCAGGAACTCTGCAAACAAAAGTACAAAAAAATTAAAAAATAGAATGATGTCATCTGCATAACAAGTGACCTGAAGCTTTGCAAAAGTCTGAGTGGATTTAAATATTAATCAAAATTCAAGAAAACAAACATTTTAACCATTACAAACATGGTTAATGCAGAGTCCTCAGTGTACAGCTTACCTTGATGCCGACACATGGTGTGGTTTGTTTCCCGCTTTCTACTGACTCAATGCTCATGAAATGGCTCAAACTGCTTATATAGTCGCTACGTGGGTTTTTTTTTTCTCTGCATGCCATCAGCTGATTGTTGACGCCATTGTGGTATTATCGACCAAAAAAATCTCTTTGTAAWTTTTTTCTTTTTTGCAGTTTTAGGGCAGCCTTTACCACAATGGTTGATTATGTGGAGGCTGATGGCATCTCAAGCCTAGACTGAAACTGTCTGGTAAAGTTTATGTGATATGTGAAAAACCAGGTGGAACTCAGACATCATAACAGGTTGTTCTCTTATTGTTATGATGCTTTTCAACTTTTCCAAATGTGCTACATAAAGCTTTGATTTGTAGGTTGATTAGCATAACTTCCTTTTCTGATATGAAAACAAGGTAGGCTGTTCTGTGTTAGTCAGTGATTTGTGTTTCCAATGATRACATTAAAAACTCCAAATTTGGAGTTTTCAAGGCATATACTGTATAACACTGCATTAACTCCATTATCAAATCATAAATTTCTTAGAAATGCATCTGCCATGCAGTTACTGTTAATCTGTTCTGCTTCACTTGGATGTTACACCACAAAGATGCATTRATTTGTCTTGAAGTCAACCACAGATATAGGTTAGAGTTAGTCTACTCATTTTCAAAGTATAAATGTGATTTCTTTCAAAGTATTTGATTTAAAGACCACATTCCTTTTGATTTTTTTCCAATGACTACATTGCTAAAGATGAAAAAGTTGAACATTTCTTTTATGATATTGCGACTTACAACTCGTTAAACATACCCTTGTGCAGCCGTTGCTCAATAAACCTAACGTTGACTCGTCCTTTCAAATTTTAGGTCCAATTCAACACTTCCTTTTCATCAAAAYTCTTAGGTTAGTTTTTGTCTGGCCGCAGTCCTTTTTGAATACCTGCTTGAAATGTTTCAGTCTTGGTTTAAAGCAGTTCACAGCACTTTTTAGTGACAGATTCAGGCGACTCAACAGTTTTTTTTGTTGTTATTAGTATTATTACTTTTATTATTACTGTTTTTTTTTTTTTTTTTTTTTTTTTGCTTTTGCCTTTGATTCAATTAACACCATCCTGATCTCCAGGCTGGTGTTTTCCAAGGAAATGCACTAGACTGGTTCAGGTCTTACCTGTCTGACAGGAGTTTCTCTATAAGCCTTGGAAAAATATGTTTTCTGGGAAATCTGATTTTTCTTAGCTTCCTGTTTCCAATCTGTGCAAGAAAACCCACAAGCATGAGGGCGAACAACTCTACAAGAATTCAAATCCAGGACCTCCTTGCTGTGAGGCATCARTGCTAACCACTGATCCATCATGCTGCCCTAACTCCTCTCACACATGGAGTTCCCCAAGGAGCCATCCTTGGAATGTTTTTATTGTTCATCTATGTGCTCCCCTTAGGCTCCATCTTTAGAAAATTTAATATCTCGTTTCATTTCTACAACAATCAGATCTACCTACAGTTAAAGCACAGTCAATGTTTCATTAAAACCATTGTTTGACTAACAGAAGTAAAAGCTATGGTTTCAAACTTACTAAATTCCACAGAGAATAAAACTAGTTCTTCTACAAATCAGTCAAAAGGGAAACCTTTTTTTTTTCTTTTAACAATTTTGAAAGGATGATGATGCTTAATAGACTATTGTAACTCTATGGTGGTGTTAGTGGGGCTCGCCTCTCCAAACTGCAACTCGTCTTTTGACACAAACAAAAAAAGCGTGAATGCATTTCCTCAGTGCTTGCTTCTTTTCACTGACTCCCTATTTGTTTTAGAATTGATTTTAAAGTTTTATTGATGACCWATAAGGCCCTGAATGRGCAGGCTGCTGTAAAACTGTGTGGCCTCCTGCAGACTTGCGTGTCCTCCATATCTCAGATCTAAAGATCATTTGCTTTTGGTTGAGCTGCAGTAAGGTGTAAATTTCCCCACTGTGGGATCAATAAAGTTTGATCTTATCTTATCTTATCTTATCTTATCTTATCTTATCTTATCTTATCTTATCTTATCTTATCTTATCTCATCTCATCTTGGCTGTCCTGAGGTCCAGGCTTGTCCACAGAGGTGACTGGGCCTTAACTGTTGGCTTCAACTCTTGGTGGTTTTGTGTTAAAACACATCTGCACTCACTGGCTTTTAATGAGAGCTGACATTCATTTTAGTGGTTTTATTTTATGTCTTATTATATTTTAGCTGTTTTTGTGGTCTTTTGTATTTGGTATTGTCTTTTTATTTCTTATATTATGTGCAGCACTTTGGCCAAAAGACCGCTGTTTTTAAATGTGCTGTAGAAACAAATTTGATTTAATTTGAAATGTTGTCTTCTCTGAGCTAAGTTAAATCAGTCTTGTGTTTTTATCTGTCAGCTCATCTGTCAGTTTATTCATCCATCAATCCAAATTTCCATGAATATTTTCTTCAGCTTACCCATGTTCAGATAAAAGGACCGAGTGGAAAACCCAGACATCTCTCTCCAGAGGGAGATCCTCCAGCTGTGATCTCAGGTTTAAAAAAATGCTGTAGTATTCCTTCAAAAATCAATTTTCTGGTCTAAAAAAAAGTCTAAAGCTCTTATAGTTATGGTGAACCTTACTTCTGACAAAAGAAAATAAATATTTCCAGTTTATTGTCACACCACTGTTTAAAAGCCAACATCTCTGAAGGGGTGGATTTATATTAGMGCTGGAGGCACTGGAAACGTCGTATGAAGGCACCATTCAGGTAGAACAAGATTTTGTGTATTGTGAAACAAAAGCCAACAATGAGGCTCATTCAAATAAATGATAGTCTACAGGAAACATTTTCAGAACAATTTTAAAAGTTGTTTCTTCCTCCCAAGAATTTTAGTGAGCCGTCATCTTGAGCGTCTGCACAGATGCTCCAGGCCCAAATAAAAAAATGCCCTATTTTCTGTGTTTCATCTGACGCCAAACTTTCTATAAACTCGGTTATTTTGTRTAAATTTTAAGCAGGCTGGACGGTACCTCACTGTTTTTGTGCACCAGTTTTTCTTCAGGGTTCATGACCGGAGCCTCAGGTGTCGCCTGGCAACAGTCAAAGGTAAACAAACATCAGCTGAAGACAAGATGATCACCTGTGTCTTTACTTTACGTGATAAATCGTCCTACAGTGTGTTTTGTTGACAGTTATGGGCTCAAAAATGCTTTCTGCTGTGTTAGAGAAGAAGCTGGGACGTCTTTGTCTGACTGATTTTCCCTGTGGAAATGGAACCTGGGTGAGTTTTCAGCTAAATTTGCTTCAGATAAAACACAGTGTTAGTTCACTGCTGCATGACAGGCTTTTTAATGTGTAAAACTCATGTTCTGTTTGTCAGAGGGGCACCAAAGACAGTGCAGGGGGTGCAGAAACTGAGTCAACAAGTGACCTCTTGGACCTGCTGGACTGTCCTCGTTCTCCATGGAGAGTCAACGATGACTCCTGGAGTCCTCAAGCTTCAGCTCTGAGACGGCTGGCCGTGCTCAAGCCTCTGCGGCTGAACGCAAACTTTATCCACAATTACTTCACGACACTTCGTATCCTGGGCAAAGATGTGAGTGAACTCAGAGCTCCAGAGCAGGAGGCAAACTGTTAGGTTTCATTACACTTCTGCACACTTTCTGCTTTCTTCCATTCAGTTTCCTGAAAATATCTTCTTGAAAGTGTTATTGAACTATTCAGAAACTAAGAATTTTAAGTTATTTTGTGAATATATTTTTGTCTGTTTTTTACTTCCACACAAACAGAAACTGATCCCAGAGGGAAATACAAAAAGTTTCTCCATTTGTTGCATTTTAAAACTGATTCCTCTTGATGTTTTCATCTTACGTTTCTTTTTCCAAATCTCCAGCCACAATTTTCACAGCTACCTAATTTTCTTTATACTGAAGTTATTAGTTAGTAGTTCTTGTTTTAAGGACATTACATCCATTTTGCAATTKTACACTTTAAATGTGCAAATCAGCTGTTTAACTCCGTTGTCAGAACTGTTTTCTGGACATRATAAGCTGCAGACACAGGCATTCATGAACTGCTTGTCATGAAAGTTTGATTGATCCTTTTTGATGTTGCTTTTTCTACATCAAAAACTAAAAATCACTGAAAATTTTAGACCTAATTTCCTTAGTTTCAATTAGTTTCATAAAATCATGAGAAGCAATAGAAACTCTGTCACAGATTGCTGGSC